TGTATATGGCTTATTTGCGCTATATCACTAAATAAGAAAAACCTTAAAAAAGCCGATCTCTAACTAAAAGACAATCCTCAAGAACCGACGTTAGCAGGAGTCCTTGAGATTAGAATATTCCTGATTGTGGACTACTCATTTTTTCCATCATCTTGAAATCAATATCAGACTTTGTTCCAGTCCTGACTGTGGACTACTCACTTTTCTCGTTATCTTGAAACCAATATCATTCTTTGTTTCACACCGTAAATTATAGTGGTTTCAAGATAAAGAGAAAAATTAGTAGCACACAATCACAGGATTGACGAGTAATCCTCTTTATCTGGAAACCCAGATAATTTTTAATTGCACACAACGACTAGTTCTTATTTTCCATCACCTTCAAACCAACGACGCACACTGTCTGTTACCACTGTCGAACGAGTGAAAAAAACAGCGCATCATCTTCGACCTGAACATTTCCACGGATATTTACGAAAGATCGAAGAACCAGGGTGAGTTACAAACTGCATCGCACCTGTCGAGGATGGTAAAAAAGGATTCCTAACGATTTCACGGAATCGCGTATAATGGAGAGCGTGGAGCGCCGAGAGAGAGAGAGAGAAAGAGTAGAGTGTTGTGGCACACGTCAGGCCGATGCAGCCGTCCTGCATTGCAGGGGGACGCGCACGAATCGAACGGGCGAATCTATCGCGATGCCAGACGCGTCCGTTAATAAAGTATAATGGGCACACGGTACCCGGACGACGCCGGTACACCTGACCCATCCAACACAATGGCCGTCTACGACGCTTGCCCATGGATCACGTAGGCCACGTGTGCGAACGGCTCTTTAATACGGGCTCGTAAACCATCCGCGAGAAAAAGAAACCTACGCGCCTCGACTGTCAACACTTTAACCCCATGGAACAATCGCGGCCGAAAAACGCGACAATACAAAACGATCGGCTAATTAATGCCTGACTAACCAACGTAGAAGAATAAAAAAGAAGAAGGCCAATGGAGATTTCGTGATGAATTTTTTAGTAGCGGCTGTCGAACAGGTTATCGATCCTCGTGAGATTTGTACAGGTGCCTTACGAAGGACATAGATCGCTTAATTTTTGCTCTTTCAGTCAGAGTGTGACTCCAGAGTCCTATATATTTTAATACATTGGTCTCTTTCAGGGTTTTTACTTGGGTTAATTGAGATTTTCACTGATTTTCATCTGTCTGAAGATAAATTTTTAAACGCTACAAGTGGTTCAATTTTTCTTCAGAAATGCCACAACAGATTGTTTCACGAGTTAAATAAAATTTCTCTGAAAAATATTCATTAGTTGTAGCACTTTTCTCCCAAGGTAACGCGACTGAAAGAAATAGACGCGAAATCACCCCTCGACGCGAATTTGTTAAGGAATTTTTATTAGCTTTCTAAGTCCAGGAGTGTTCCAAATTTGTCACAGAATTTTTTTCAGATTTTCGTTAAAACAATCTACTTTACACTCGTTTCGAACTCGTGAACTCTGACGCAGAGGGTCAACGAGCCATCGAGTTTCTTTCAATTATGCAACAAGATCTTGGTACCGTGAGACACGATTTCCCATTCGATTATCCGCCAATCGTCCGATTTATTTATCCAGGCAAAAATTCGTGCAAAGGGGGAGAGAGAGAAAACCCATAGGGCACACGGTATACCAACGTTGATTAGCCTCCGTGTTGATTTAATTACCGGAGGGGGAGTAATTGGAATGCCTACCGAGGTTCCCCCGCCCATCAAACGACACCCCCATGTCGTTTGCTTCACTTTGTCTCCCGCATCCCATCGCCCCCGCATTCTCACTGCCTCACCGATGCATATTCATCGATGGATTAATATATATACACATATATATGTTCATACGTTTCCATATATCGAAGCCTAGTACTAGAGCCAACATTCTCCGCCTGTACACTACCTGACCATCTCGTTTGTAGAACAAATTTCTCCATCGATATCGATTAATTCTAACAAAAAGAAAGGGCAAAAACTACCAACTACATAATACCACCGTAGAGAGGAAGATCAATTAGATTGAAAAACATGTACACCAGAGGCTTCTCTACAAGGAAATACGAATTTCGGTATAAAAGAGACGGCGAGACGAATGAAAGCACGATTTCCAGCCAGCAAAAACATTTTTCCACGTTTTCTCCTCCTCCTACCTAGCTGGTGGTCGCCATGCAAAAGCAGTCGCGTGATAGACGGCGCGTGTACGATGCTGCAACGGGAGCAGACTGCGAAAAAGACAACCGGGGGATAGGTAGCTAGACAGAAAGGGAGTGAAAGAGAGAGAGAGAGAGAGAGATTTTCGTTGGCAATTTCCGCGAGAGACTCGTCGCAAAAAGGGAGCAGCCGTGTATGGTTACCGTTCGTACCGGCGGCCATAGGCGAGCGTATATCGCGGCGATGTTATCCGCAAACACGCGGGTTCGGCCAATTTATCCCAAGGGATGAGGCCGACGTAGCCTGGAGCCCGGGTGTGGGGCAAACCTTGTCCAGCGGAATGAATTCAGCACGCAGCCCCTGTGCGGTTCGACCGACCACCCTTTACCCCTTTCGCAGACCACCACCTCTACACTTCCTATATCCCTTCCACTTCAACCCGCGCACACAGCTTCATCCCTTGCTTCCTTCCTTCCTCCTCCGCCTTTTCCATCGGCCGCGAAACTGCCCGTTAAGGCCAGCTTCGAACTGTTCGGCCGGAAAACGACGCGTGTTAACAGCCGTGGCCGACCATCGTGGTGAATAGTTTTCTCTCTTTTTCTTTTTTACAGTGTCACACCGGGGATCATTTCGACGATGCTGTCTACACGATTGTCGTTTTAGCTTAATTAACCGCGTTTCGAAGAACGTGGGATGTTGTTAACTGGGGATCCTTTGATATAAGAGGTTATATGGTGGGTTTGTGTGTTTTTTTTTTTTGAAGAGACTGTTGTGTAAGGTGAGTTTTAAGGTGGAATGGTCTGTTAACCCTTTGGTTTGGAAGGAGGAGATGTGACGAAAGAGTGAAGAGTAACTTCGGGTTTAATTTAAGATTATTCACTTAACGCTGTATCGGGACAGCGAGTAGCTGAGGATAACATACGTGAAGATTGGAAAATCGTAAGGTCGGGGGTTAATCTTTAGCTTTACGATTAATTTCTCAAAGAGAAATGTAATAGTTGCAGAATGAAATAATTCGTTACAATGTTTACTCATTCTTCGTTACAAATTAGAGAGATTCAATTCCCATTTAAGAGGTGCACCCAGTTAACAAGTTAAAAGTTAGGAAATTTCTCTTAACCCTTCTCTTTCCACAGAAAATTTCTACCGCGCAAATTTCATCTAAATATCTGAAAAAATTGGTGACCAGAAATTTGTTGATAAAATTTTGCAACACACGAGTGTCTCATGCCGAAAACAAGAGTTAACCTTTGATATCCAGAAAAATAAATAAGGAATTCGAGAAACTTTCTTCTAAGTACAGACCGCTTCTGTTACCTAAACGTTGACGGGTAATCTTCGACAGGAGTACGGATCGTACGCTATAAGACGGGGAATTAAGGTGAAACGAGACGGGGTGGACAGCTCTTTGGCGATCCGTGTACGGATTATAACGAATATAGGTAGCGTGAGGTAATCCTTAACTCGTTCGGTATCGGACACTGGTGATCCGCTCCACATATTGGCGGTTTGGTATACACCGGCTGCCTGATTGCCACGGGGGCTCTTAGATTTATTGACCTGTCAATGGTGGCGCGCGAAAACGGCGAATTTACAACGCCGCAGGTGTTAAGTTCTGCCGTGCGTGTAATAACGGCCTGATCCCTGGGCCTACGGTAAGCCACACCGTAATTATATTTCCGAACCTCTGGCCCGCCACCTTTGTCATTATCACCCGAGGCGGCGTGGCCGTAACTCAATGAGATCCATTGCGCGAGCCCCGCGCAAACCAACCCCTTTCCTACACACGCTCCACGCACGGTAAACACAACAGACATTCGATCGGGCTAAATCGACCGCGAATTTCTACGATTTTTTTCGATTCCGGCGAGACTCGCAACGTCGAGTGATAATTTACGAGCGATATTTCGAGCAGCTCGGTGTAAGAGGTATGAAAGAAGCTTTTCACCGTTCGCGATAAGAAAACACGTTCGCCGCCAAGGTTCACTTGAAGTTTCTTTGTTTACCTTCTTAATATCTGTATTTTTATCAGTTTTGGGTAATACAGTGCATATTGCACTTATCCACACGTAATGCGCATTAACATCGCCAAGTGTGCACTTTGTATGATGTATTACATGTAGATAATGCTAATCTGTCGTGGGAATTTGTGAGTTACACATACGCTGCTGCTTAAAAGTTGATATGCAGTAAAAATGAAAGTAACTATAGGAAAAAATGTATGATAAACTTCGCTGGATTTCAACTGAAATGAAATCAATTGAATTACATAGAACTGTTAAATTGCGCGATTAAATTTATGAGCAATAGTGTATGCGACACTGGTAGCGGACACGTTAATTACAATTTCACATTATGATAGAAGTAGAAATTAAACGAGACACAAATACACATGTAAATTCCAAGTTCCATGCAGTTATAGAAGGTCAACTCAGAAATTTGAAAATATCCACTTTTTTAAAACTATTTCCACAACAAATCTTCCTTCTTTCATTTAACATCCAGCCGGTTAACAGGTGAAACAAACAGATGACAAGTTGTCCTACCTTGAGCCTGGTGAGTCGAGGTTCTTCCGCGGCCAGTTTCGCCAATGCCTGATAATCCCCTTGCGCCGCTCTGACCAACCACTCCCGTGACTTCCCGTCCAGTTGCTGCTTCCCAAAGCAATAATTGCCTCAATTAACAGGGGTTACTCGCGATATCGAGCCGAGCGATAACGGCCAACACGAACGTGGGACGACGTCCAGGAGAGAGAGATCCGTGGTTCCGATTAGAAG